TTGAAAGGATATGAACAAAGAATTGAGAGGCATTATGAGAATCGAACTAAGAAAACATTTGCTAGTCTTAGTGTAACTCCTAAGAAAAACAAGTTCAATGCTAATCGAAACTTCAATTTCCAGAAGAATTAGAAGATAAAAGGAAAGAAATGGGAGAATAAGCATGTGTACCAATAAGGAAAATCAATAGTTACTTTTGTGACAACAAAGAATCCCTGCAAATAGTGTGTGATAAGTTGCACTTTGGAAAGTGTTGGCTCAAAGAAAAACCTAAGTGCCATAATTCTGATAAATTTTGTCATATTGCCAAAGATTATCATGATAAGAAGGCAGTTCAACATGTGAACTATGCTAACCATGTTGATGAGACTCCTACTATGTTTTTTGCATGTAATGTTGCTATTGTGAAGAAATGTGAAGATGTTTGGTATGTTGATAGTGGATGCAACAATTATATGATTGATCGAGAAGATCTTTTGGTGGACATTGACAAAAGTGTAGCTGCTAAGGTTGAAATGGGTACAAGACATTTTGTAGATGTTGGAACAGGTAATCTTGTGGTTGAAAGTAAGCTAGGCAAAAGATATATATATATATATATATATATATATAAAGGTAATTTTTATGTCTGGTTTGAAAGAAAATTTGCTAAGTATGGAACAAACGATGGAGTATGGATATTTTCTCAACATTGGAGGCAATAAGTGGACATTTATGATGATTGTACCTTCTCCAACTTGATTGTTAAGGTTCCCATGAAAGTAAGCATAAGGTTTCCATTGAAGTTACAACCAGGAATGCAAATTGCAATGAGAGCCAATGTGTGTCAATTTGCAATGATTTGGCATAGAAGACTGTCATTTGAATGTAAATGCCTTTAAGCAACTTCAGGAACAAGAAATGGTGGTTGGAATGCTAGGGTTGAAAACATGGTTCTAAAAAATGTTAGGGGCTAGTCGGGCGGTGAGCTGGAGCCCAGCGCCTAGGCGGCTAGTTGGATTTAAATAATTTTTTTATATATTATTTATTTTATTTACATAATTTGATGGTCTAAGAAAAAAAAAACATTATCCAAATATATATATATATATATATATATATATATATATATCTCAAACCCCTACCCTATATATAATTCTAAACCGTGTGTATGTGTGTGTGTGTGTGTGTGTGTGTGTATGTAAATCAAACTTTTGAAAAGACATAAAGCCCAAGTATTGGGTGGTTTCAATATTCAAAACCGTGTGCCATCGCACCTCTTTCACATTCCCAAAGGTGGAGTCCTAGATAATCATACCTTTTGACCCCTTGAAAATTGAAAAGCCCATTTCTATTATACATTTTCGTTTCTTCTTCTTCCTTTTTCATTTCTTCTTCTTCCCTTAGCCCTTTCAAAGCCATTCCAAAGTCTTGAATCAGTGAATCTGCAGCTCTCACCATTTCAGATTAAATGTTAAATACCTCTATCTCTCTCTTTCTCTCATTTGTTCATAGACGGCAAGTTGTAGAAGATCGCTGAGGCTTTCCAGCTACGTACGACATCGAAAGTTTCAGATTTGTTGTGAGAGTTGCAGCAAGTTTGGGATTTGCTGCCACCTAGACTGCCGCCTAAACCGCCTAGCAAGCGTCTAGGTAAGCGCCTAAATCCTCCCCACCTTAAGTAAACGCTTTGGCCTAAATCAAGTCGGGGCTCCGCCGCTTTGCACCTAGGCACCACTTAGACCGATTTTTGGAACACTGGTTGAAAGTAACAAAAGTTATCTGTGAAGGTTGTGCACTTGACAATGCATTTCAAAGAGAAGCAACCTGGAGAACTTCATTTCCACTTGAATTGATTCACTCAGATATATGTGGTCCTATGCAACCTTCTACTAGGGCTGGGAACAAGTATTTTATTACTTTCATAGATGATTGCACTAGGATGTGCTGAGTTTACTTTTTAAGAAATAAATCTGAGACATTTAACGTGTTTAAGAAATTCAAAGCAATAGTGGAACTACAAAGTGGTTACTAACTGAAGAAGTTAATAAGTGACAAGGATGAGAATACACCTTATTGGAGTCTACTCAGTTCTGTGAGAATCTAGGACTAGAACGACAGCTTACTGTGGCATACTCACTTGTTGAGATGGCAAAGTGTATGATGATTATGAAAAATATCCTTCTAGAATTTTTTTGGCAGAAGCTGGTAATACTGCAGTGTATATTCTCAATAGCTGTCTTACTAAAGCTTTGGATAGAAAAATTCCATTTGAAGCTTATAGTGGAAGAAAACCTAGAATCAGACATCTAAAAGTGCTTGAATCCTTGTGTATGCTCATGTTCCTAATAAGTTGAAACATAAACTTGATGAAACCAGCTCTAAATGTATATTTCTTGCATATGGAACTTGTGAAAATGGCTATAGGCTCTACAACTTGGAAATTGAGAAAATGATTATTTCCAGTGATGTGATTTTCATGAAAGTGCTTGTTGAGATTGGAAGTCAAAGACTGAGAGAACTATGATTGTACTTATTGCTTATGATACATGAATAGTACATGAAGATGAATGGAGTACAACTGAGATTGAAGAAAAAAATGGTGAACTGCTGTCTGCAGAATTGTCACATGATCAAAATGATCAAGTCTTTACTTTTTCTGCAAGTCATGACAATCAAAATGCTATCACAGGTTCACATGAGTATGATCACTCCTCTTAAGTTTAAAAGATATGTATGAGAGGTGCAATCTATGTGTGATTGAACCTGAGTGTTTTGAAGAAGCATCAAAGGATGAGTATGGCTAAAGGCAATGAATTATGAGATTGAAATGATAAAGAAGAATTGTACTTACGAATTGGTTGATAGACCATTTGAAAAACCCGTCATCGGTGTCAGCCGTTTGAAAAACTCGTCATTGGTGTCAAATTGGTCTATAAGACTAAATTGAATCTGGATGGCTCTGTGCAAAAGAATAAAGCAAGATGATGGCTAAGGCTATGCTCAAAGGTCTAGGGTAGATTTTAATGATACATTTGCACCAGTGGCAAGATTGGATACCATTAGAACTTTAATTGCCTTGGCAACTCAAAAAGGATGAAAATTGTTCCAAATATCAAATCTGCATTTTTGAATTGTTTTTTACATGAAGAGGTGTATGTTGAACAACCTCTGGGATTTGTGATCAAATGGCAAGAATATAAGATTTACAAATTAAGAAAAGCTCTATATGAGTTGAAGCAAGCTCCTAGAGCTTGGTATGATGAGATTGATGCCTATTTTAATGTATGGTTTCCAAAAGAGCCCAAATGAAGACACATTATACATGAAGTCAACTGATGCATGTATTCTCATTGTCTCTCTATATTTGTATGACATAATTTACATTGATAGCTCAAATGTTATGATTAAGGAATTCCAAATGGAAATGATGAAACAATGTGAGATGAATGACTTAGGACTTCTGCATCATTTTCTTGGTTTAGGAGTAATACAAACTGAGAATAACATATTTATTCTTCCGAAGAAGTATGCCAAGACACTATTAGAAAATTTTGGGCTAAAGGATTGCAAATCAGTTGGTACACCACTTGTAGTATATGAAAAAACATATGCAAATCTGATGGTAGTGAGAATGCTGATGAAGGTTTATATAGGAAGATTGTTGGCAGTTTGTTGTATTTAACTACTACAAGACCTGATGCGAAGTTTGACGGGAGGACGGAGGCGCCAAGGAAAATGAAGAGAAGCTGCCATGCTTTTTTGGGTTCTGGGTTTTGACAGGAGGTTTTATTTGAAGAGGGAAGAAGAAATAGAGAATTGATGGCTGTCGAATAGAGAGGAGGAATGAGGGATGGTGAGGGAGAAGGAAAATGGAAAGTAGTAGTCCGTATCCCAATGCTCACTTTTTTAATTTTTTTTAATATCTATGTGGGTCTAAGATTGATACGTGGCGTTTAGTCATTGTCCATGTGGTCGCCAGGTCACAAGTTAACGATTGTTTTAACATATAGCTCAACAGATGTATGAAAGTGTCACAGAATTATCACTTTAAGTCACTGTTCTAAAAATCCTCAGCTAGCACCTTCTAAGCCCTGCCTAGGAGCTAAGCGGTTGGCCACCGACTCAATTAATGCCTAAGCATTTGAAAATTTAGAAATAGCGCTAAACCTTTTGAGGCGCCCGCCAAAACCACCTAGCACCCACCTAGCCTGCCTAAACACGCCTAGACACTCGCCTAGGTTGCGACTCATTTAGACAGAAAATAGATAACTGCCATTTTGCATTTTTTTAATAAATTGTAAGAAACTTGTTGAATACTAAAATGAAGACAAATTATATGCTTGTTCCCCATGTTTTCATTATGTTTCAATATTTCATAATACATATGTCATTCTATTTTGTAATTTATGATGTAATTATACTTATTTTTAAATAAAAACAAACACTTATTTACATGAAATATAACATATTTACTTAAAATCCGCCTAGGCGCTAGGCTCTAGCCCACCGCCCGACTAGCACCTATTGTCTTTTAGAATCTTGCTTTAAGTAACAATCTAGGATAAAAAAAAAACTTAATTATGAAATGTTGAAAATAAAAAAACTTCATGGTAATAAACTAAGAATTACCCTTTTTTTTGGTTGCACCATGTCATATTCTTAGAGATAAAGGTAGAAGTATGTCAATGCAAATGTCTAATTAGCCATTAGATCAAATCTCAATAGCTAATATTTAAACTTTTTTTGTCATTCAGTTTTACGATCTAGTGGTATTCCTCACTTGGAAGTGAGAGGTCTTAAATTCAAATCTCGTGGATGGCGAATTCCATACCAAATTAGGTTGCTCAATGTGTGGTTTAGCCAAACTCTTCCTTCCCTTAGTGTAAATATATTGATGTATTAAAAAATATATATATATATATTTAATTTTTTTTTTTTTGGGGAGATATATTTAAACTTTTTTTTGGACGAAGCTATTATTTAAACTTAGCTTAAGTTACAACCGGGTATTTTCAACCTAGTAAAAAAGTTAAAACCCGACAATTTCAGTTCCCTTCTCCCTGTTCTTCCTCTGCCGCCAACCCAGTACTTTTGACTCTACCGCCACGCCAACCACTCGAATTCTTGCTGCCAAGTGAACTTCCGGCCATCGGGATCATTTGAACTCGAAAGACCCATACTCTTTTGACACCGTCTCCCGAACACAATCAACCTTGTTAGCATTGTACTGTATCCACTATCTGCAGATGCCTTCTGCAAAAGGAAAGAAGCATTCGAAGACCCAATCGAGGCTATCGAATTCTTCCGACAACTTCTCGTCAAATGGGTCGCTTGATTTCGAAGAAACAGAAGAGGGTTTTGCGAGCTCCATCGAGCAAGCTTCGATCAAATACCCATCTCTGATTGCTAAGTCTGCTTTCGTTGCCCGAGTCGCCGACGTTCAGGACGACCCCAAAAGCTGCAAAATTTGGCTCTCAGAGCCTTCCATGGTTGCCTCTTCCTTCACTCCTGGCTCCATTGTTTCGGTAAAGTTTTGCCTTTTTGTTTGGCAAAGCAATTCAAACGAGTGTTTTATTGTTTTGTGTTTGGGTTTAATTTTCGGTGTTTCGGCATTGGTTTGATTGTAGGTGTCGCTTCCGAGCTCGAAGAGTAGATATTCAGATGGGTTTCCTCTCTGTTCATTAGCAGATGAATGTGCTAGAACTTTTGGGATTGGTTCTTGTGGGCAGTTGGCTAATGAAGCAGGGAACTACTTTGCTCTTGCTACAATTTTTCCATCTTCTAAGGTTTGAATAACAACTGGGTTACTCTTTTTCCTCCTTTTCTTTCTATTATGTGGAACCTTATTTGATATGGCAATTGCGAAAAACGGGTTCAAGAAAAAGAATATGTTTAGGAGATGCATTACTATTCAATACAGTGTAAAACATATGACATTAGTATGTGTCTAAACTCTTGACGGTAAATACCTAACTACTAATCTCCCAAAGGGTGCTTCCAAACTATGGTGATTTTCTAGTTTGAACTATAATGTTGAATTTGAAAATGGCATCATGTAGTTAGGGTCAGAAAAAATTGAAAAATTATCGAATTAGTTTGGTACAATTTGTTATGGAAACCTTTGTTGGTTAGTTGATAAGTTTTCCTGCCTTTGGGAATCTGAAGTTTCGAATTATAGTGGCTCATGTTTTATCTCAGGTTACGAAGAATGAAGTGCTATTGTCTTCAAATCTTTCAAATACAATTGGTTGTCCTCCATCAGGCAGGGTAATATTCATCCACTCTGTACAAAATCAGTTTGGAGCTGGTCTTCTGGGTAAGTCAGGAAAACCACGTAGCACCGGAGTTGATTGCCTCTCAATATACGACTGCAATGAGTTAGTTTTGGAGATTGTTCCTTCTAATAATAGATTAACCATGAACAATACCTCTGTCAACATTTCCGCTGAAAAATCTTACCATTATTCTGAAAAGGGAATGGCTGCATCTCCTAAGACACCATTGAATCGATCAAAGCTAAGTGTGTCGAGTACTAGTCCAGTAACTTCACCTCGACGTGAGTCAGTAGCAGGTGTAACCATTCCCAATGTGTCATCTGTTAATTCTTTTGATGTTGAAGAGGTTTTAGGGGATGACAGTACCAAAAGACTTCTGCAGACATGTGCTACTACATGGTTGTATTCTCGCTGTCTACTTTGCGGAAATTTTGTCACCATCCCAATGCTCTCACAACTTTGTTTACTCCGAGTGATTGGTGCTAAAAGTTTGTCAAGCTGTGATGCTAATGATTTGCTAAATGAGGCTTCTAAAGTAGTGGGCTGTGAACATGATGCTTTTCTAGTGAAGCGAGAAACAAAATTATCTTTCCATTTGCCATCAAACCAAGCATCTAAAACTCCACAGAGAAGAAATCTATCCAATTTGGAATGTAATGATCCTGCCGCTAATACAGGAGATAACATTTCAAGATTGGGGGGTCTTTGTAAAGAATATGCAGTTTTGAAGGACATCATATTTTCCTCCTCTATGGACACTTTGTCAAGGTATGTCATATGACATGTTATTTGTTTCTTAATATTTTTACTGAAGTTTTCATGTGATGCTAAACTTTTGGGTTTTCGCACATTATTTGTTTCTTTCTTGTTTAATTTAAATACTTCTGGTTTTGGCGGGCGGGTATATTCTTTTGATATAAAGGCTATTAACATGTTCAAGGTATGAGCTGTCTGGTTAATTATAAGATTGTACTAACCATTTAATGGTGTGCTCCCCCATTCATAAAGAAATCTTTTTAAGGTAAGCTGTCTTTCTAAGTGGAATCTGTCAGCCACCAGTGATAAAATTTCTAACTACTAAGGTATTAGAATATCCTATGATGTATATATTGAATGATTCGGATGTAGGAAATATATCTGAACAATGGAAAATATAAGAAATGTAATTGTTGTCTTCCACAAGATAACCAATTTACATGTCCATTTGATGAAACATCTGGTTTTGGTGTGTTCATAAATTATAACCAGTCTTTTTTAGTACATTTATTTATGCATATATATTTTTTTAATTAGTCTTGGTTTACGAACTACAAAGGGAGTGCTTCTTCATGGTCCTCCTGGTACGGGAAAGACTTCTTTGGCTCGATTATGTGCCCATGATGCTGGCATTAACTTTTTCTCTGTCAATGGACCTGAACTTGTGAGTCAATACTATGGAGAAAGTGAGAAAGCTTTGCGAGAAGTTTTCGAATCAGCTAGCCAAGCTGCACCTTCTGTGGTTAGGTTTCTTCTCTGTTTCAGTTTTCATGCGTTGTATTTTAAGGGTTCATTATTATTTTCTGGTTAGAAATTATTTTAAGTTTTAAATGATGCAAACATACAAATAAAATTATGCACACTGTCATTCAATTGTTCAATTCTTTATCTTTTGGCATTTGTCACTGAAATTTGTATGCTTATTAAATTTGGAATCTAAAGTGATTTAATATTGTTGATTACTTTTGTATATCAAAACCTAACATGCTCTTACATACTCTCTTATGTGTAACTTTCAAATAGCATGGAGTCAAATGCCATCTTATGCTTGTAGAATGTAACTGAATACTGGAAAAGGTGCTCTCCTAGAATTATACCAAATATCTATCATCTTACAGCAGACAAGGGCTTGATTTCTATAAAGAATTATCACCGAAGCTTTAACTTTGAGGGATTTTGCTAAGCCATAAATCAGCTGAATACTTAATAAAGAATTATTCAACTTAGAAGGTTTTGTTTAATAAATAAGGTATGCAAGCAAGAATCCCTTTTGTAGACTTACTTTGGAATTTAGGGAAGTATCCTTTTTTCTGTTATTTTGTCAGATTGGAAAGCTTCTGTTTTGTAGCTCGTCAGAATTCTTTTTGCTTGATGGTTTCCCCTAGGATTGAGGTGTTGCTCCAGATTTATGTACAGTTTAGTTTAGAAGTGGATTCCTTGTTCACGTATCTTGTACTGTTTAAGATCTTTAATGAAGAGTTGTGTTTTTATAGGTAGGTACTTATATATATGCAGGAATGGGGTTTAATAAATTTGATTATGTTACCAAGATTTTGCCTTTGTTAAATTAGTTATTTCAATACACATATCTATATTGTCTTCTCTAATTAGTTCTTTCCATAGGTATTCATTGATGAGCTGGATGCTATCGCACCTGCAAGGAAAGAAGGAGGTGAAGAGCTATCTCAAAGAATGGTTGCTACACTGTTGAATTTGATGGATGGTGTAAGTAGAACTGAAGGTGTACTTGTAATTGCTGCTACCAACAGGCCTGATAGCATTGAGCCTGCACTCAGACGACCTGGAAGACTTGACAGGGAAATTGAAATAGGTAATATGAAGTTTTTGTAGTGTTGATTGTATTTTGTCATATACAAAACCTTTTTAAATAATTCCGGAGTTATACTAGTAAGAAAACCATAGGTATCCATCTAATATGTTGGTCTGTTAGAGGTTTGACAAACTGATGGGAATTCTGGTGGTCTTCATCCTTGTTTTAGGCTCAGGTGCAAATGTCATAATTAGTCTAGTTTACTTCCTTGGGTTTGGTTTTAGATTGTTCACATTCGGCCTTTAATTTTTTTCCCTATTGATCTGAGACTGCTAAAAGTTGAATAATGTCTAAATAATTATTTAAATGGAGAAAGACATCCACACCCATGCATACACACAGCGTTTGTGGATCTAGATAATAAAAATAAATATAAAAAAAAAAAAAAAAAAAAAAGAATTTTCATTAAATATTTTTGTATACCAATGGATTCAACACACAAGCTCTTAGACCAGCCTACACTAAAATCTTTCAGCAAGAAATACGCAAATACAAGGCTACTCAAAAGGGGATTCTCCCTTCTGTGCCCATTTTCTATTCCCTTTTACCGTGACCATTTAAAACCTAATTATATCTGGACAAAAATAGTTTTGTAATATAAATAAAAAAGAAATGAAACTGCTTGCTTAAACAACAAAGCTTCCCTATGAACTACTTGACCTGCTCCCACTACCCACAAGGTATCTCACAGCCTTATCTTCTAATGTTGATACAATCTATATATATTTAATTAAAATTGGTTTCTAACTTTCAAATTTGTAATAACACGCTTATATTAGAAGAGCAATCCACACTGGCCTATGAGAAAGGTAGTTACTACAAATACGGCCTATGAGAAAGGTAGTTACTACATATACCAGGACATGTAATTATTATTTTTGTTTTGAAAATTAACATTCAGGTGTGCCATCTCCCAAGCAACGTTTGGAGATACTTCATTCTCTTATCGGCGAAATGGAGCAATCTCTTTCATACGAGCAAGTTCAACATCTTGCTATTGCTACACACGGTTTCGTGGGTGCTGATCTGGCTGCCCTTTGTAATGAAGCGGCCTTCAATTGTCTTAGACGTTATGTCAAATCGAAATACTCTGATGATTGTTTGCACCAAACATCTATTGCTGATGAAGATTGTTCTAACGGTCTAAATGTACCTGGTTTCTCAAAAGATACGACAGACATATCGATGGATTACTCAGATTCCAGATCTTCATCTGTCTCACATTTGGATTTTTCTTTAGAGACATCCTTGCATTTAAAGGGAACAATTGGAGATGGTGATAAATTTCTGAATGACATTGAAGGAGAATGTGTCTTGAAAGTGACTTTTGAAGATTTTGAAAAGGCCAGGATGAGAGTGAGGCCCAGTGCCATGCGGGAAGTAAGTTTAATACTTCCATGTTTCCAGGCAGTCATTTATGTTTAGTATATGTTGTGTATCAAGCTCCAGTATGCCTAAATTATCTTAATTAAGTGAGGGTTCTTTCTCTTTATGAGCCCATCGTAGAATGCAAGACCAGATAGCAAATGGCTTGCTTTTAGTACAAATTATTGAATCCAACCGCTGTTAAACAACTACAAGTACCTACAAGTTATTTACTGTCTCTCTTTGGATTGACGTTCCTATAGAATACTGTCTTGAGTTCAAATGTTTCACTGTTATTATTATCATATCATGTGCCATATTTTTGACATATTAATTTCACTGATGTAACTACTCATACTCCTAATCTGTTCCCTTAAACTTCTAGGTAATACTTGAAGTTCCGAAAGTTAATTGGGAAGATGTTGGTGGTCAAAGGGAGGTAAAAAGTCAGTTAATGGAAGCCGTAATATGGCCTCAAAAACACCGGGAAGCATTCAAGCGTATCGGGACTCGGCCCCCGACAGGGGTCCTGATGTTTGGTCCTCCTGGATGCAGCAAAACCCTTATGGCTCGTGCTGTAGCTTCTGAGGCAGGGCTGAATTTCCTTGCTGTGAAGGGTCCAGAACTTTTTAGCAAATGGGTTGGTGAATCTGAGAAGGCTGTGAAATCCCTGTTTGCGAAAGCAAGGGCTAATGCTCCAGCAATCATATTCTTCGATGAAATTGACGGGCTTGCTGCCATTCGTGGGAAGGAAAGTGACGGAGTTTCAGTTTCGGATAGGGTTATGAGTCAGCTGCTTGTTGAATTGGATGGTTGGTAACGGTTCTACATTACTCAATCCACAATTATAAGCTTTTTCTCTTTTTTGTTTGTAAGGCTTTTTTTTCTTTTTATACAATATGTAGAATCTTTATTAGCCAGGATTCTAACTTAAGCAATCATCATTTTTGCTATTGAATCTCTGACTTGATCTATACTGTTAAAATTAGGTTTGCATGAAAGAGTTAATGTAACTGTTATTGCTGCTACAAATAGGCCAGACAAGATCGATAGTGCCCTTCTGAGGCCAGGTTCTACATCTCTCTCTCTCTTCTCTTTCTACTTCTCCTTCTCCCTCTCCAGCACAAACACACACAAATACACATTTTCTGTATTCACGTTCACCCACCTCATGGGTAGCAGGTGCATTCCTGTAACATGTTACACGCAAGATGGATGAGTTTTTGTAAGTGTCTTTCTTTTCCTCCAAAAACTTGAAAATTTCCCTGAGAATAGAATTCTTTTTTCGACAGGACGCTTTGACCGGCTGCTATATGTGGGACCTCCAGATGAGACTGATCGGGAAGAGATATTTCATATCCATCTGCGTAAGATACCATGCAGTTCTGATGTCACAATATCTGAACTTGCTCGTCTTTCAGAAGGCTGTACCGGTGCTGATATATCGTTAATCTGCCGAGAAGCAGCCGTTGCAGCTATGGAGGTTTGAATATTACTTATTTTATTGCATGAATTTTGTTTCTCTGAATCAGTTCATCAATCCATGATTATTTATTCTATCAGGAGAGCCTTGATGCCTCAGAAGTAAAAATGCAATATTTAAAAACTGCAATTAAACAAGTGAAGCCAACAGAAATTCATCTTTATCAAGAACTATCCGACAAATTTCAAAGACTTGTTCTTTCTGGCACAAAAGAGAACTAACCTATCTGGAGGGTGTGAGTGGATAAGTATGCATCCCATATTGTAAGCCTTTCGTCTCTGGCCTACTTTGTATTTTTGTAATTTCTTATTTTGGATGATATGCTGAAAGTCAATAAGCTCTAGAACCTGTTAGTGTATTATTGATCTTAATCCAGACCCTGTTGAAGTTATTTTTGACTTTGGGATCAGCCTGCTATAGCACTATTCTTGTTGGATGTTTTTGGAGTATTGATTAATGCAAATTCTCATTCCTACTATAATAAATCCATTAGTGACCGGGGCGTTTAGGACAGGAAATGAATTTGATATTATCTGATCTTAGATTTACGATACATGTCATTCTATGTACGTGACATCATGGTAGGGTGGACTGCAGTACTAATAATAATACAGAATGGTCCTTAGGGAGTCAAATTTACATGTCTGTGAGCATTGTTTCAGAAGTTGATTAGCATAAATCCTAAACTGTTTTCCACTATTGTTGCTTCTATACTATTTAACCTTCTTAGTTCTTAGTTACCTCAAAATGATTATCTGCCATTATTGGCAGAATCCCTCGTTGAAAGTTGAATAGTCACTCCAATTAGGATGTCTTCGCTTGTATGGAGTTGAAAGATCTGTTATGTGAAAAGATAAAAATAAACAGAAGAATCATCCAAATTCTTTAAAGGACAATGTAGTTTGGTAGTTCACAGTTTGTACACGAGGAACCCAAGCTGGGTTTATTTCATCTCTTTTGCATGAGGATTCTTATGTTTAATTGTTATTTTTGAAGAATATATACTTATGTACGATATGGATATTTGTGATGCATTCATTAACTTCTTTACCCTCACTCCCTCTCATCTAGGTTCGTGTAGTTTGTCTGCACGTTTTTCTGTGTGTGAAATATATCTCCTATTGAGAAATCAACTAGCTAAATGGTTTTCTTTACTATGTTTAAGCAGGTATAAGCATCTACCCTAATGTTCCTTCAGCATTTTCTTTACTAGCATCACTCCTGGCACTCTGAGAGTAGTCGCGCAAGTTTGATGCATCCTTGGCTCCCCAAGTATAGAAGGTTATGCCTAGTCTCTGGGGGAGGTTGAAGCCTTGGAGAATCCTTCACATCCTCGAGTACCATAATAGGCTCCTCCGTTGAAAGAAATGCATGCGTGCCCATCGTTACGGAGTTTTACGGAGTTGATTGTAAATTTGCAGACGAGGCTCTCATTCCTTCTTATATTTGCTGTCAGTGCTCACCAGTGAACTGATAGGTTCCATCTGAATGTTATGTGCATTCAGTTGTGCTGTGATTTGAACGCGAGGGGCAACGGGTCCTTCTGGTCTAGGATTTCTTCTGCAACCCAGGAAATCTGTCATCGTCTCTACAAAAACCATCAATTTTGGCAGTGAGTGTGGTTCTACGTGGACAAAAGATTTTCTGTTGAGCTGGCTAGCATATGAACCAATGTAGAAAATAGTGATAAAAATAGAACTTTTGTGCTTTTTTATTCTAAATTTATTGGACTTCCATCATATGGTTGCTTAAGAGATTTGTGGTCGTAAAGCGTTTGTTATCAAAGTGGTTAAGAGCATTAACCGAGATCTTAGAATAAAAATCGGTTTTGTATAGTACAGTATCCTTATTGGAAGAAACCGAAATTTGAGGAGTGATGGCCCAGCTTAGTGGAGCTTTGATGAAGTATTGAACAACTTCACAAAACAAATCTCGAAAAAAACTATATTCCCAACGAGCCCTTTATCATAATCTGCGATAGAAGTGTAAAGTGCGTAATATTGTTGGAAATTATATACGTTGTTGTAGGCTTTTTTTTTTTGAGGGAAAAGAGAGGGAGAGAACCCGCGGTAAGGAGAAGAGAATTTTTCATGCTTTATGCCTTTATTTATATTAACAAGGGAGAGAAAAACTTGATTCAAAAGAAATACAAGTTGTACAAGGAAAGATCTTCTAAATCTCATAGGATTTTTATATATAATCGTTTAGGATTTACACATTCACACTCCTAATGAATTTAGGACTGCAACACTTTTCCTTGAGTGTATAATAGATGGTGCATGAGGTGTTCACGTGATGATGTATAAATAGTTGATGAAGTCTTCTCCTCTAGTTGGCACAATGAGCGAATGAGAGTCTAAAAATAAACGGAAAAATGTATAAGTAGTAAAACTCACAAAACTTGGCTATGGTAAAACCCAAGGTAGGATAAAACCCATAGTCTAAGTAGAAAAGTGAGAAGTAGCAATAAGTTAATACTTAAAGCCTTTAGAACGCAAGTAGAATGCACACAAGGCATGACCAACCTAGGATGGTTGCCTAGTTGAAACCTTGTCAGGTAGCAAAAATTCAATGGGAAAATGCTCCTAATCTAAGGGGAAAATAACATATTAAGGTCAAGTGAGTATACTTCTAGATATTTCTCTTGAGTTTGACAAAACTTCCAAATGAGAACTACCAATTTCCACATACCAAACAAGCTTCTGAAATGTTGCCTTCGGTTGTGATTTCGTATAGAGGTCGGCAAGGTTGTCTTGGGATCGGATTTTCTTGACTTCAATCTTTTTATGCTTCACTAATCTGATGTGGGCACAATATGATTGGTGTTGAGTTTGTTGATGTATCACGTCTTGGTCTTGTTGAAACACGGTGTATTATCTTATGGATCATTATTGGAACTCAAAGATGGATGAAAAACTGCAGGTACTTCATATATGCTCAACAAGAACTCTCAACCATATCTCTCACGTGTGGCGTGTGAGGTAAGGTAAGCTTGGAATGATTAGAAGATTTCACAACTACGGTCTATATCATGGACCTCTAATTATTGCAGCATCCCTAATGATAAAGACATAACCATTTGGGAACATGTCTTCTACAGGTTTTATAATATCGTCAATAAGACCTATGTCGAAGAACTACCAGAACTCATCAATGGTCAGGTCGAAGTCAAAGAACTTGCTCAAGTTGAAGAATCCCACCATCATGCGAATCACGTTTGGAGAACACTAGACAAGAGCGCACTTTATGGAGCAAATTACCTTCTAGAAAAAGCACGGCATAGGAAAAGTGAACCTTAGCACGCAGTAGTAAGGATCAAACTTGATGGCTTTCTTAGTTGTCCTACGGCATGTTCATGGCTGCTTCTTTACTTCGCACGTCTCACGCGAACCCTAAATGGAATTACGTGCCTGAATGTCTCAAGAAAGTTCCTAAATAGCTCTTTGGAATTAATCTTGATGTTGTTGCCTTGAAGTAGCCTACCTTACTAGAAGATTTGCCTTGATGGTACAATGGCAGAGGATACTCATCACCTTTGCGACTTGAGCGAGACATACTCAAAGAATTCCTACATGGAGGACATTAAAAAAAATATATATATTAAAGAGGTACTTGACAAAAAAGAAATAAAAAAAAATACATATAAAGTAGCACGCCAAGCCTCAACCCAGCTTGTTGCCTCCACGGACTAGCCTGCAACACCCTAGTGCCTCAGCCAAGTCAACAAGAGGCATAGGCCTTTACTTCTTTCTTTCGGACAACGCAAAGGCCCAACAGCAGCCAAGTTTCTTTCTCTCTCTCATACAACAGGTCAAGCCCTTAGGCCCAACTTTTTTCTCTTGCTTGCCAAGCCCAATCGCGGAAAGAGGCCTCGCGTCTCTCTTCCTCTCTCATAGGCCGAGCCCAGCTCATTCATTATCAGCGTCCCAACCTTCTTGGTCCGCTCTAACCATAGGCCGAGCCCTAGTTGTAACATCCCACATTGCCCAAGGGAGAGGATCCTCTAAGCCTTATATGTATATTCCCATCTCTACCTAGCACTAGGCCTTTTAGGAGCTCAATGGCTTTGAGTTCCATCGAAACTCCGAAGTTAAGTGAGTTCATGCGAGAGCAATCCCAAGATGGGTGACCCACTGGGAAGTTCTCGTGTGAGTTCCCAGAAACAAAACCGTGAGGGCGTGGGCGAGGCCCAAAACGGACAATATCGTGCTACGGTGGAGTCAAGCCCGGGATATGACAATTTGGTATCAGAGCCAATCCCTGGCCGGAAGTGTGTCGACAAGGATGTCGGGCCCTTAAGGGGGTGGATTGTAACATCCCACATCGCCCACTGGAGAGGATCTTCTAAGCCTTATATGTATATTCTCACCTCTACCTAGCACGAGGCCTTTTGGGAGCTCACTGGCTTCGGGTTCCATTGGAACTCCGAAGTTAAGCGAGTTTGCGCGAGAGCAATCACAGGATGGGTGACCCATTGGGAAGTTCTTGTGTGAGTTCCCAGAAACAAAACCGTGAGGGCGTGGTCGAGGCCTAAAGCGGATAATATCGTGTTACGATGGAGTCGAGTTCGGGATGTGACACTAGCTCGTCGACTTAAGCTAAGCCAATGCCTAGCCCTAGCTAGCCAGCCGTGCCGCACCAACTTCTCAACTTCTTGACGAGCCGAGTCCTCTCTACAGCAGTCCCGAGCTGCTCCTAGCAGCACCGTGGCTTCCCAGCCATGCCTACCCAAGTTCGTGGCCCCTACCGAACCATTTTATCAAGCCCAGAGGCTCCAAAAAAATAAAGAAGAAAGAAAATTAATTTTTTTACCTTGGTGTAGCACAGAGAAGAAGGGACGATGAACAACTATTTTCAAAAGGAAGCAAAGAAGAAGGCTAGGGATGAGGAATAAATTTCCTCTGGCTTTCTCTCCTTCTTGTTAGGATAAAAATTGTTCTCCAAATTTATTTAACCCCCTGCTCAAGGCATTCTTAAATAGGTTTTGGTGGCAATTGGATTCCCTTTCCTAGAAAGCCCTATTTCTAAGTCAAAGTAGAAGATCTACATCAAATTGGGAAATAATTCTCTACTCACCTAAAGAGTATGGGATTTCTACACCTATTGCCTTTTTCTGCTTGCAGCCGAGCAGGTGTGGGGCATTTGTGGAGCCAAAAATAATTTCAAAAGTGCAAAAGGCGACACAAGGACCTTTTCTCAAGAAAAATAAGATTGCCCTCTTTAAATAGGCGGGCTTATCAAATATTCCCATGTGCAGCTCAGCATCTCTGAAGGTCTAAGTAGCAGACTACGACTGCTTAAAACTCTCATGCTCGAATTATAAATCTCATGTTTAATCCATTCTCAATTGAAGATCAGCTCCATCAAGTAAGGAATCATCCTCATAACCAATCAAGGATACTTCCACCATTATCTCAAGATATTATCTCCTAATTAATATCGTGGGAATATTAATTCCTCATTCATCCTACGGATAACATAACCTTAGCCAATGGGAAGTCGCAACATATAACACAATACCCTACACCTAGGTCGACTACCTCCCTATAAATTTTCATCTCCACCATATTTTGGTAAGCTTTGGCTACTCATACAAACCCTAAACACACTCTTTTTAGAGTTCCTGACTTAGGCATCGGAGGTCCATTGGCCAAACCCCCCCTCACCTCATATGCGCATGAGGATTTGGTTTTGGATCAAAGATGTTAATTGTTTTGTAGGTACAAATTCGTCAAGACTGAAGATGGCGGATTCTTACAACCACAAAATTCATGATAAAGAACAATTTTTAAGAGAGCTTCTAGACCCACCCCAGTGTCCGATTTCCCCTCCCACATTATAATCTCACCTACCATGAAATGTTAAAAATATAAAATGTTATTTTTTCACCCATTGTTATTCCAAAAATGTGCCCTAATATGCTATTTCCCACCTAACTGTTATTCCTAAAAAAATGAATAGTTATTTGCCCAACAACAAAGTATCCTCAGACGATAACTAAATGACCCTCCAAATACTCTACTGCTGTGTGATTATTCAATCCAATAACTAACATCAATATCTGATCATCATCTATTTCTAACTTCTTACCTCTTAATTGTAAAGGGCATCCACACTTTTTCGTTCTAGAATTTCTTCTATCCTCATCCTTTATCTTTTCTTTCTGCGAATTTGACTTACCTATTGTCTCTTCCTTTCACAACTCAATGTAAGTCTAAGGCTCATTTCACTTTTTTTGCGCCCAACCTATTATTATATATATTTTTAAGGTCCTTATGATCATTTTAAAAATGACAAATTTGTAATTTAAACTTTATTAAAAAGTGAATGGGGAGATAAAACATTAGGATGAGAATAAAGACACTCATTTCTAAACGAACATCTACCTTTTAACATGGAAAAAGACCATTTGACCCCTATAATTTGGAATTTATTTCACCATTTGGTCCCTGCTATGGTTTATGATAGGTCTGACAATTTCTTACACGACCCGTTAACACAACACGGAAACGCATAAAAATGAACGATTCTGATTGTTGGCATCACATTCCGATTTTTACAGTTAATTGAAAAATGAGTCAATGTTATATAGTTTCTAGAGACTTTATAAACTCCAAGTAATATTTTTACTAATCGTAAAAATCTGAAAATTATATTAACGATCTGAACAGCTCATCATTCTGTATCCGCTAGAAAAAAATTCATGTTTTCAAAAAAGAAAATCTAAATAAATGAAATTCAGTGGGATGAATGGACCTTAAACATATGACAATTAACGGTTAAATTTAAATTTATGGTTTATGGGATTATGGTGGCAAATTTCGAAGTTGACATCTTC